CCAAATATGCAGTCGAAGGGGCAGAAAATAATAATAAGAATTCCTTCAATAACAATAGAGCCTTGCACGGGTCAGTGCTCGGTCCCTAAATATAACCACAGTCTACAGTATGTGTATAACCGACAGAGGCCCACAGCATAATTCCAGCAGTTAATTTCCTACAGTCAGTTTCCATTCTAATAAGAACAATTAAATAGATATAAATAATTTAATTTGTTCTAAACCTAAGAGAACATTGTGTGTTTGCAGTAATATCAGTACAGAGAGCATTATAGAAATGATGGTTTGCAGCATTGAGCTGTAGTGGTCAAAGAGCAGGATTCAGTTATTTTTGACTCAGCGGTCAGAGTTCTGCTTGTGTTGCATTGAGGGTTCAATCAATGAAAATTATACTATTTGCTGAGCTGTGGTTGTGTCATAATGAGGTTGTTTGTGATGTGTGTATGGGAGTTAGAGGTTGAAAGTGCATGTACTCTATGTTTGTATATATTCAGAATTGTAAGTGTGTGTGTGAGAGAGAGAGAGAGAGTGAGAGAGAGAGTGTGTGTGTGTGGGAGGGGTGGTACTGTACTAGAGGGCCGGGACAGGGGCAGAGAGGGCTTTTTCTCTGAAAGCACGCTGTTCTTCTCTGTCTTTTCTTCGAGCGCGGTCAGGATGAGAACAGCACTGTTCATTGTTTATCTCCTTTCTGCGCTGACAGAGATAGCACAGGCAACACCAGGTAAGAACACACTTTATTTTACCTCATATTAGGGCAAGACATTCTGATGCACCAGCCACTGCATATGACAGATACGTACGGTCATTGTACAGTTTTCTAATAACTCTGCAGCCCCAGGGATGTCAAGAACGATCAAACAAAAATAAGTTACATAAGACCAAGCATATTGACATTTGACTAAAAGAAACATTGTTCCCACTGTCAGCTATATAACAATAACAGCCTTGTTGTAGCTTGACCTGTGTTTGTTTAGGGAATTTTGAAAGGGCTTCATAAAACAATAAGTGGATTATGGAATTTTCCAAACCCACCAAGTAATCTCTGTAATGACGTTACAGTTTTGTGGCAATGCCACACTGTAAAAATACTCCTGTTGCAAGTAAAAGTCCTGCATGAAATGTAGTTTGTCAAAGTGGAGCTAGTAACACCTTTTTTAGAAGACGATGAAGATGTGTGTTTAAAATTTAGGAGGATCTCTTGTATGTTATGTTTTCATTAGTGTATATTCGCCTGAATATAAGAATCTTTGTGTTTTCATTACCTTAGAATGAGGTCATATTTTATCTACAGAGGGAGCGGGTTGCCTACCTTCGAGTCTGCCATGTTTAAGTAGCCCAGAATGGACAAACCAAACGCTGGTTGTGGCTGTTCAGGTTTTTCGCACATTTTGTGGCTACCCCAGTTTCTCTTTCACAGTTGGAGTGGGATAGTGAAGCGAGTGATTTGCAATCTGCAACAACACAGCTAGAGCCTCCTACACACTACACTAATCAATCACTCCAGCTGTCAATAAATGTAGTCAAAAAGTATAAATATAATAGAGCATAAAGTGGAATACTTAAATAGAAGTACCTAAAATGTGTGCTTAAGTACAATACTTACAGTAATTGTACTCTGTTACTTTCCACCACAGTTTGACACTCCTCATACAATTCTCTTTAACAACATGCAGCTCTACACATTCTACACTCATTCTACCAGAACTCTGGTGAACCTTATACCCAACAAACTGTCAACACAATTTGATAAAAACCACTAACAACAACAGGTAGCATAACAGAGGTGTATCTAGAGGGTTAGCATGGGGTGGCAGCTGCCTGGCCACCCTAGTTTAGTTTTAAATGTAACACTTTTATTTAGACAAACAATTAAGACTCAGTGATAGGCTAGCATTCACTGATAAAAGACATATATTTGGATGTGTTTTGATTTGGAAATAAAATAATTTATAGATTTCTAATGCTGCCCCATTGAATGCTACACAACAATATAATGTTTTTGAGTTCAAATATCTTAATTTGGAAGAAAATACTGATATATGTGATTGGTTCTGACCAATTTGAAATGCATTCCACATTCCAAAAAAAGTGTTCTATTCTTTTCTGTATTCAGACACAAGTTTTTATCTGTATGACACATTATGTCCTCTGTAGAATACACCTGGGTTGGCCTTCAGTGGTTGGTCTTTTATTTTGTTTTTTTGTTGATGTAGCCAAATATAGCAAATAGCTGTCTTTGTGCTGGAATTTGCACTTAAATATAACATATTTATATAACTTAAAATGAAACAAAAACATGTCCGACGGAGTTTAGCTGGTGGTTGGCTTTGAATGAGAAAGCAATTCATGACTCACATAGGCTGCTGTTGAGCTGACTAAAGAGTTTTGGAAAGTGAAGTCAGTATTGAAAATTAGTTGTCCGTAAATGTATTCTTGGATGTTAGCCTACTTTGCATTACCATCTACCATTCTCCAAAGCCTACTAAAATGTTTTGGGTTTCTAAAATGTGTTTTTCTAAAGATTTCCACAATGCTAACACAATGCTAATGTGCTAGAAAGTATGGTAAAGGAGACTGCAATATCAATTTGAAAGCATGCATTTAATGAGAATTTACATAACATAAGATAATCCCATTGCTACAGTATGAACCCCTCTCACTACATACTAACTGTATGCAGTATTCATGTTTTTTCTCCATTTAGTGTACAAGAAATGACGACTTTGGAAGGTCTTTATCGACTGAACTTCACAAATAGGACACAAACTGTGTTTTTAATATATATATATTTACTGTTTTAAAGGACTAGTATGTAGAATTTAGTAGCATCTAGTGGTAAAGTTGCAGACTGCAACCAACTGAATACCACTCCCTTTCCAAGCATTAAGGAGAAACTACAGGGCCGTGAAAAACTAGACTAAAACTAGAGCCAGTGTTTGGTTTGTCAACATGGCGCACTCTGTAGAAGAGGACCCGCTCCCTCAGTAGATAAAAAACAGCTCATTCTAATTCCCAGGTCATCAAATACAGACACTTTGGCAAACCAAAAGTATTAACTACTATAATCAAGTTACCAATATTGACACTGGAATGACTTTATATCTAAAATAATAATTGATGTCAAACTAAATATATGCTGGTAAGAGCCCTCAACATTAAAATCAGATGTTCAATCGAGCACAGAAGGAAGAACTTTCCCACTTCAGATGAATGTGAAAACATCCTTCTAAAGTAAAACTCTGCACATACAGCATTCAAACAGCACACTGTAGGAACAAGAACAAACACTGATTTCTGACTGGAGGGGAACTTTAGGCATACTTCATTTTATAACATTTCTAGCATGAACATACTCAAAACAGCTTCAGACTTTATAATGACATCACATATATCACTGCAAAAACAGCCCTTCTAGAAAAATAAATATTCTTAAATATAATAAACATTTTCTTGTATTAAGCAAAAAAATCTGCTAAAGGTGTAAGACTAGGCTAGAATTCTTAAAATTAGCATATAAGTGTAGCCACTGAAAAACTAATAGTAATGGGCCTTAAAACTAGAAAAATGCCCAAACTGTAAGCCAGTTGTGCTTATTACAAGCAATGAAAACTCAGTTTTTTAAGATAGACTTTATTGAAATAAATATTTTGGTCACTTTATTAAGCTGAATTTAAGAATTTGTACCGTAGTCTAATAATTAGCTAAAGTATTATCTTACAATAAGACACAATTTCTTCAAACAGCATAATAAAAAAAATGAAGGCACCAGAAACATTCTTATTTTTAGCATTTTTTATTAAACAATGAAAAACTAAACAGCTGCTTCATTTCCAACACTAGGACAGGATTACTTTTTCTTAAGGACAATAATCTGTTCCTCTGCTGGGACATTAGGCAACCATTGTTGTTACTGTTTAAATCAAGCGCAGAATTAGCTGTAATAGCTTATTAATGATCTTATTATTAGGTATATGTTCTGAAAACGATAATACTTTAATGCATAACATGCTAGTTTTTTTACTCTTTTAAGATTCCTTTTTTTGCAGTGTACATGTTTAGGTTCCAAGGTCCAAATGCATGGGAACCTCCACAAACACAACATGTAATAACAATGGAGATACATATCAGAGGAAAATAAATAGGAGCGAATATTGCACACATCCATAGCATAATGATGTATTAACAGTATATAACTTGAATTTAAGAGTTCAAGCGATTCAAATGTTATTTTACATCAGACATGTAAATTCACAGGCTTTGTGTGTAAATATATTCATAATTTCACGTATTCTAAATATCTGTAAAATAAACAGGGAAAACCTTATAAAAACACAGCTTTTTTTTACAGTGCACTTGTATCTTCAGCAGGGAGCATCGACCTTGTGGTTTCTCTGAAAAATGGCCAAATCCGAGGGGGATATGTGGCGGTGAAAGGCACAGAGCGGAGGGCAAAGGAATACCTGGGAATTCCCTTTGCCCGCCCCCCTGTGGGGCCCCTCCGCTTTGCTGCTCCCCAGGACCCAGATCCTTGGGAGGGGGAGAGGGATGGCACACACCAGCCCCCCATGTAAGACTAAATGACCTCTGAATCCCCAAAGATCACACAACATGACAAGATCTGAGTTTTTTTCTCTTTGGATGACACACACTTCTTCTTCTCTCTCTACTTCAGGTGTATCCAGGATCCAGAAATAGTTGTGAATGTTTCTAGGACTATGTCAATGCAGTACACGCCACTAGAGCTTTCAGAGGACTGTCTGTATCTGAATGTGTACACTCCAGCTGAGGCAACACAAGGGGACAAACTGCCGGTGGGTTACAGAGACAGCGTGGAGGATGTGCATGAGTGGACAAAATAACAGAATGCCCTCACAGTGTTGTTGTACTGGACTGGATTCTAATGTAAGGTGTTATTTTGTCCACCCCCTGTCTTTATGCTGAGTTTAGAGCTGTTCATTGTGTAATATTAAATGTTTAAGCTGCTCATTAACAGAGCTTGTTTGAATTTACCATTCAAGTGTCTTCATGGTAACACAGCGCCAGTGGATGGTATTGGTATCAGCTCAGTGAGCTTGTTACAGTAGATTTTGTGGTGTGATGCTGCCTCTGTTTATTGCTCAGATGAACATATACTGACTGTCTGTTTATCTATATTTATATTGTATTGTTCTTCTTGAGATTTCGTGTGAAGAGAGGTGGGGAGGTCAGCATGTTCTTGTGTTTTGTTGTGTGTCAGGTGATGGTGTGGATCCATGGAGGAGGTCTGGCGATGGGCGCAGCTTCTCAGTATGATGGGGCTCCATTAGCTGCTTATGAAAACATAGTGATGGTTATTATCCAGTATCGCCTTGGCATTCTGGGATTCCTGAGGTAAGTAACTGTGTAGCTCCTCACCGTTCTGTCACAGGTTTCAAATAAAGAAATAAACTGTATCACAGTGGTCATTTTTCCAGACGTTTCTTAGTGAAATGACTCTCTAAGAATCCAAACCAAGTGTCTTTGCTTTTCCTGTCCCGAAGCACTGGAGACGAACAAGCTCAGGGCAACTGGGGATTCTTGGATCAGCTGGCAGCTCTAAGATGGGTGCAGGAAAATATTGAGGCCTTTGGCGGCGATCCACAAACTGTCACAGTCGCTGGAGAATCTGCAGGGGGCATCAGTGCATCCATACTGGTAAAAAAAGAAAGGAGAAAGGAAGAAAGAAAACATTCAAGTGCATCTTTCGTTTGTTATGTATCAGGTCCATTTGTTAAGTCATTGTTTATTTATCTTTCCTTATGAGCAGACTCTGTCTCCACAAGCCAAAGGATTGTTTCAGAGGGCAATTTTTCAAAGTGGAGTAGCCACACTGGGGACCTACACTACAAGCCATCCTTTGAGTTACGCCAAGGTACTGTAATATGTAAACTGAGTAAGAATTGATTTAGAAACAACAGAACACACACAGCAACGTTAGCGTTTACGTCCATCTAATGGATTTAAGACTAATATTCACTCTCCTCAAATACTTACTTCTCCTCTCGGTTTTTATATCATTAAAAACCTGGCTTTTTAGTTGCTGCATTCACTTCACTTCAATTCTAGTTCAATGGCTAATTGCTTTTGATACTGGACTAAGTTTTACACTTATTAGAAAAAACATTTTATTTAATTGACCCTTCCCGGCCATTTTTGCTCTGTGTTCCAATAACAGTTGAGCAAACCTTGGTCCGAACATCGGTCGACTTTCTCCTTTCCTGTACTATGTGCTAGGCTAAGACAACCACATTTTGAAGATTGAAGTTAAAAGATAAAACCATATCACATATTAAGTTACTATGTTAGTTAGCAAATGCTGGTTTTTTACTTGCTAATTATTAATTGTTTTTTTTTAAGTATCATTTGATTTGTTGTGTTTGAGTGTAATGATTTTTCTTTCCAAAATTATTTGAAAAATTACACACAAATTTAAGAAATTTCAGTATTTTTAAATTGTGAAAGGCAAACTTTTTTTATACAACTTCCATATGTTACAGATTAAAATTAGTAATGATTTTCTATTGTACATTTACTCTACCTTATACCTAGATTGTAGCCAACCTTACTGGATGTGACCGCAGTAGCACAGAGGAACTGGTCCTATGTATGAAGGGGAAAAGTAAAGACGAGCTGGTCGATGCAACTAAAAGGGTAAATGATTGTGAAGATATACAAGCAGGTGTTATAGATGTAGTTGACTTTAATTTGATTGTGTGTTTTATTTTATGTTACATATCCTAGATTAGGGGTCTAGCTCTTTAGCCCCTCTCCAGTGGCTCCATGTGGCTTTGAAAGAAATGTATATGGAAATGTATAATTGTTATTTTCTTACCTTTTAATTTTCATTTTATCATTGTTGCCTAAAGTAATTCTTAGATTCTCCAATTATAAAAAAAAGAAGAAGAAAAATAAGAAAAAAGTAGCCTATACCCAGAATAAAATAAATGTTTTTGCATTTTGTTAACTAAAATATTTGTTGAAAAAAGGCATGTATGGTGTCATAGTATGACAGCTGAGCTTGAAGATTTCTGTAATTCAGATAACAAATCTAAAGTTATATTCAACTAAATTTGGTAAAGAAAGCTGCTGTAAATACTATCAAAATTTCAAATGTCATGCCTGACTTGAGCCACAAGATGGCAGCCTGTAAACACTCATTAAAAGTTGTGTTTCCCTTGCCTTCATCAAGTTTGCCATAATGGCACTGTTATGTAAATCCTTTCTTGTGTTTAGATGAGAATCTACCTGGGAGCCGTGGTGGACGGCGTGTTTCTGACTGACACAGCAGAAGAGCTTCTCAAGAGGAAAGAAGTGCTGAAGGTTCCAGTGATGATGGGAATAACCAACCATGAGTTTGGATGGATCCTGCCTCAGGTCACACAGTGTTCAGATACAATGCACTTTACCCAGCCCCTGTGATAATTCCATCATTCCCATAATTTCTGCCAGTGTCACTCAATCTTCAGTGGTGGTTTTCTCGTTCTAATGCTGAGGCCAATATTGTCTCATGTTGATCACAGAGCTTTGCCCCTCCTGGCTGGGAGAACGGTATGAACAGAGAGTCCGTGCTGGCAGTGGTGAACATGTTCAATCCAACAGGGGTGAGCTCTGTAATGATAATTATATATATATATATATATTTATGTATATACTTCTCTATTGAGTTTAAACAAAGAACACAACCCAGAATATCAATACCCATCCAAGACAAGAAATACAAAATAATAATAAAAAAAAATAGAAAATTAAAGAGAGAGAGAGAAAAAGAATAACAGAATTAAACCTAATATAATATACAAAGTATTATAATTAATCATATGAAATTAAGTAAAGCATTGTTTGCAGTCCACATCCCTTTAGAAGTACGTTTTTCAGGTCTGCAGGTCTAGAAATCTAGAAAAGGAGACCAAACCTTCAGGAATAGCTCATCTTCTCCTTTTGAGACAGTCTGTAATCTTTCATGGGGGAGAGTGTTAAAAATCCCTCTGTACCAAAGGGTAACATTTGGCAGGGGGTCTTTGATCCAACTGTGCAATATGCACCTTAAAGCAATTAAAATGAGTTTCTCATAGAGTTTGAGGTGTGATGCAGTGAGATGTAACTCCCTATAGGGAAGGCCCAAAGGAAAACAGATGGATTAGTTCTGATTGAAGCTGGAGAGCTGTTTTTATATATATTAATTTATTATGACAATTTTGAGTTTAATCTGACTGTTTAAAGTTGCAGTAGGTAGTTTTTATAAAAAACGTTTTGTCATATTTACTGAAACTTTCACTATATCCTGACAGTAGTACATGAGACAGATAATCTATGAAACAATTAGGTTCTTCTGGCTCCTCCTAGTGCCCCTAATGGCATTTGCAAGAATCAACCAGGTCTGAACAAAAACGTCCATATTTACACAAAAGCTTCAGTTTATGCAAAATGCACCTCATAAAATAAAAGTGTGACTTCCACATTGTGTAATAATTTATTACAAAATGTGGGGAATGTATTGCATATTGGGTTCAGGCAATGTTGCATATTGTTACCAAATGTTATGACATAATGAAGTGAACATTTATTACAGTTATTACATAATATGTTGTTACACTTCCCTGTTTCAGGCCTCCTCTGTCAACAGACTCATCACAGATGAATACCTTAAAGATACTAAAACACCAGAGGAGATCAGAGACGGATTCACTGAGGTCATGGGAGACCTGCTGATGACGCTGCCTGTGGTGAAGGTGGCCGGGTACCACTCAGGTTAGAGGGGGGCAAAGCAGAGAGAGAGCATCTCGACAGCACAGTGAATAAGTGATTGTGTCACGTTTAAAGGCCTGTGTATTCTGTCGATGTTGGTGCAGTTTGCTGGTACAGATTATAGATTACTGGATGCTCCTTTAATCTCATTTCAACCTGGTATGGGGAACGCTGTGCCTTACAGAGTTCATGCATTGATCATTACCCACAAGGATTAGCTAATTGCTCTTGATCTTTGAACTTCATCTCAGCCCGAGCACACACCTCTCCTCCTTTCTCTCCCTGCTGAATTTAGATGCGGGCGTTCCAGTTTACATGTATGAGTTTGTACACCGTGCTGAGATACACAGACACACCAGGCCCAGCTTTGTGAAGGCAGATCATGCAGATGATGTTGGATTCATGTTTGGTGGATGCTTCTGGAACGGACACATAAAAATCATAGGTAGGTTGTGTGTAATATGCTACCCCGAATATATATCTATAGATATATATCTATATATATATCTATAGATAGATAGATTAAATGGGCACTTCTGCTCTTGTATTTTCTCATTAAAAATGTATGTGTGAGGGCCTAGTAGGTAGGGATTGAATATAAAGAAAGTTCTGGACTTTTTGGAATGGATGGGAGCAGGGGTGGCAGCTGCCGTCCTAAAAAATGCCTGGCCACCCCAGTTTGGTGTCAAATGCTGTCAAATTTAAATTAATTAAAAAGAAATAAGGTGCTGAAAAGCGGAAATTAATTGAATGATCTCTTAAGGCCACATTTTAGACTTAGTGGCTTAAGTTCTATTCAGTACTTTACTAATGTGCCACAATAATGTTTTTGAGGTCAAATAGCTTCATATGATGTCACTTTAGCTCACAGCTAATTGGTATCAGTATTAGATTTTGTGATTAAACTCCTTCGTCCCAATCTTCAGGCAACATTACCAAGGAGGATGAAAGACTTTGTAGGACCATGATGGCATACTGGGCCAACTTTGCCCGTGCTGGGTGAGTATGCACTTGGAACAACAGTGTCATTAAAGCTGCACTAACCAATATTTTTATACTGACAATAGAGAAAAAAAACCAAAGGAGTGTGAAAGGGGTATCTTACACAGACAGACCCACAGAGAATTATCATCTGACTGCAGTTCTCGTTACCTCTATGGATCTTTTAACATCTTTCAGCTCATTGTTTTGGTTTTATGTACTGTGCTATCTTTACTGTTTTGCTCAGCTATAATCATTAGCATTCCAAATGAATGTTGCTCTGTGTCGGCTGGATGTGTTCACCATAGCACATTTAAAAGATGATTTGTCAGTGTTGTGTTTACAGCTTGAAAAATTAACATTGGGGTCAGCAGTTTGAACATACACAATGAAAAACATTCCCACCCATCTCTCTGCTGCTCGTATCACTATGCTAAGCCCCTCCCACCAAACCAACCAGTTGAACAGCAGTGAAACCTCATACCTCATACCTCGAGTAGCAGCGCTTGCCCCTCCCTCATTACCAC